GCCTCCGGCGCCCCCCCCCGAATGCCCGACATGTCGAGACCGCATTGCGGACCCAACTCGCCCCGGCCATCCACTTGCCGCGGCGCCGCGCCCGGCCAATGACGAACCGCCCCCCTTCGCTGTCCGGGAGATCCGCGGCGCGGGCGATGCTGGCCCCGCTGATCCATCTCCAGCCTCTCCCCCCCCGCGACTCGGCAGCCTCGGCCAGTGCTGCCCCGCCCGCGCCGCCGCCCGATTCTGCTCCTCCCGCTCGGGGCCGGCCCCCATCCACTGGCCCCCCCGCCCCCCGCTGTCGCTGCGCCCGCCGCCCATCCGAGGTCGGCGGCCGCCGAGGCGGGCGGCGCCGCCTGCCGCGCCCCCTCGGGGGCGACCGCGCCTCTCCTCTCCTCGGCGGCAGGGGCCGCGCAGGGCGCGCTTCCCAGTGGGGGCAGCAGCCCCCCAAGCCCATCGGCCCCTCCTTCGTCCAGGGGGGCCGACGCTCGCGGCCCGCAGCCCGCTGCCCCCGCGGCCGCGCCCCCGTCGGCCCCTGCCAACGTTGGCAGGCCCTCCCCCGCGGCGTTCCCCCCAGGGGGCGGACGTCCTCTCACTGGCGGCCCGCCCCCCACGGTTCGCCTTCGGGTTGGCCCTGCTCTCGGAGGGCCCTCCCCCCTGACGCCACATCACGCCCCCCCCTCTGTCGCGCCGGCCCCCCCGCCCATCCCCGGACAGGCACTGACCTCCTCGCTCGCCCCCGCCCCCCACCGCCACGCCGGCAGCTTCTCGCAGCGACTGCGTCGCCACGCCGCCCCGCCGTCGACTGCGACCGCGGCGGCGACGGAACTCGGTGCTTCGGTCATCATAGATGCGCGCGCCCGTCTCGGCGACCACGCGGCGGACGCCCATGCCCCCGCATTTCCGCTCCCGGGCGCTCGGGCACTTCTGCTCGCCACTGTCGCTCTACAGGCTCTTCAAGAGACGCCGCCAGCGGGTGGGCCCCCTGGCCCTGCCCCCCCTGCCTCGTCGCTGTCGATCTAGGCGCCACCTCCCCCCCCCCGCCCCGGCCTGACCCCGCCGGCCGACGCGCGCGCTCGCCCACTGGCGGCTGAGCTCCGTGGCCGCATCGGTCTCAGCCATCGCGGCCTGCTCGCCATGCATGTTGATTCGCTGGTCGACCCCGCCATCGCTTGTGCGCTGGCTGGCACTTTTTCAAGCTGCATCTCCGTTGAAGGTGCAACCCCTGCCCCGGCGCCTCGGCGCCCGGTTCTAGCTCGCATCGCCCCCGGACCCGAGCCGCTCGGAACGACGGCCGTCGCCGCGAACGGTCGGTCGCCACGCGGGGCCACCTGGCCCAAGACCAAGTCGCCAGCCACCTCACTCACTCCCTCGGCCCGAATGCCATTGCCCATGCGGGCGAGGTCAACGCACGCGACCTGGGCGACATGCACATTGCCACGATGGATATTGCCCGGGTCTCCCCCGCCAGGGCTGCCGCCATGGAAGATGCCTCTGGGGCAGCCAGCTGGCTGCACATTGGCTCGCGCTGTGTCAGGGTTTCCCCTGCACTGAGGCCTAAGACCCGTTGCATGATGCCCCGCGCGTCTCACGAGCCCACGCCGACCTGTTCCGCGCGGCCCACGACCCTACGGTGGTCATTCGTGACCGCCTCGCCATGCATCCCCAGGCCTGCACTGTGACCCCCCTCTGGAGTCGCTCGACGGCGAGGTGCGCCTGGGCCAGGTCGCGGGCGATGGCCTGCAGTCTGGGGTTGGCCCCAGGGGCTGCGGCGCCGCCCGCGCTGGCCGCGGCCCCCGAGGCGTCGGGGCGCTGCTCAGCCGCGCCAGGCGCGGAGGGAGCTGCTGGGGCCGCGGGGTGGCCCCCCCCCTTCTCGTCGCCCGCCGTCGGAAGCGCCGACTGCCCGAGCCTGCGCTTCTTGCGGGCCTTCTCGACCACCTGCTTCCAGCGCTGGAGGAAGGCGGCCGCGCGCTCGTCGCGCGCGCGATTGGCCTCCTCGGCCTGCGCCCAATACGACTCCCGCTCGACCAGCAGCGCCCTGGCGGCCTCCTCCTCGACGCCCCCGAGATCGTCGAGGCCCACGGCCTCCCAGACGATGGGCCTGGCCGGGGGCGCGGGCGCGGTGGGGGGGCGGCAACTGCTCCTGCATGGCCTGCCGCTTGTCATCTCGCGCGGCTGCCACGACCAAGCAGGCGCGCTCCAGCTCGACGCTGGATGGTGCCAACTGCTGCTCCAGGTCGCAGTGTTTGCGGCGGCACCACTCCAAGTGCTGAACTGCGTTCTCCTCGCGGCTGATGGCGGACTGCAACCGCCGCGAGGGGGCGCGTTCGGGCGGCGCTGCAGGCTTCGGCTCGATGGCACCGGCCGCCTCGCGCAGGGCCTGGTACCTGGCGTCGCCCACGTCGCCCGCCGCCGCCCTTGGCCCCTTTTCATGCCTTTGCCGCCACAACCGCCGCCGTTGCCTGCGACGCGGCCAACCCAGGCGCCAGCAGGCGGGCGGGCGGCGACGGCACGAGGCCGCAGCTGCCCCTCGCACGAGTAGCAGAATGTGCTCCTCGCTAAGTTACACTGGTAGCCGCACGCCTTGCAGGTCACGAACTTCTGCGCCTGCGCCCGCCGACCACGCTGGCCCGTCCCCATGACGCCTTGTGATGGAGAGAGGGAGCTGGAACCGCCGCCACGCTGGCGACGACGGAATGCGGTTTTCTAGAATTTGGTGAAAGCTGGCCCCGATTGAGGTTATCCAGTCTTGCCAATGCGGGTTCAGCCCGCCAAAGCGCAAGTCTTGAGCCAAAATGGTTACGGAGCAGGAGGAGAAGAAGAAGAAGAAGAAGGAGGAGGAGGAGGAGGAGAAAGAAGGAGGAGGACGAGGAGGAGGAGGGGGAGGAGGACGAGAAGGCGGAGGGACAGCAAAATGAGGAGGCGGACGGAAAGGAGGAGAGGAAAGGAGGACGAGAAGAAGGGAGGAGGGAGGAGAAGGAGGACCAGTGCAAAACCAAGACGCATCAACGATCTTGCAGTAAATCGTGCCTCCAAGCTCGCTCTTCATAGACCCCTACAACGACTCATGCTCACTGAAAGAAATGCCCCGTTTGAAGACAGCCGTCTGAGAATCATGAGTGGTGCCAAAAGACCACTCATGGGAGTTCAACGCCGCGAATCCACGTGGCTGTTGCGTCCTGGCGGTCATGAATCGTGCCAGAGCACCATTCGTCGGAGTTCAACAACTCGAAGCAACATGACTGTTGCGCCATGCCAATCCTAAACAATTCCGGAGTACCCGGAAACCCTTTGAATGCTTACTACGGGTGTGAGCTGCACTGGGACGAAAACCACATTTTGGATTGGAACCACCCTCCATCTGTGAACATGTTGAAAAGGAGCCGCCCTCCGAATGTGAAGCTCTTGCAAACTTGTACGACGAATGTGCGCGGCACTGAAACGAGAGACACATGTTGAAACAAAACAGCGCCCTCCATCCGTGAACCTCATGCACATGCCTGAAACGAATGCGAGCAGCGCTAATGCGAGAGCCAAAATTTCAAAAACATCCACCCTCCATACGTGAAACTCTTGAAATAGTTCAAAACGAATGTGCGCGGCATTCAAGCGAAGCCACATGCTGAAAACAAATCCCCCTCCATCCGTGAACATCTTGCGATTTGATCAGACGAGTTGAGCGAGGAGCCAGGGCGGGAGCCACATTTTGAAAACGGCCTACCCTCCGTCCGTGAATATCATTCGGTGCTTCAGCTTACTGATCAGAAGTGGTGAGGAAATATGAAACGAAACGCCCGGCCCGCCCTACAGCAACGTCTCGGGGCGGGACAGGGGGGACGAAAGGGGCGGAGGGGCGGGGATGGGGGAGGGGGGGGGAACGGGGGGGGAGGAGCAGAGGAGGTGGGAGGAAAAGGGGGGAAGAGGGGGGGAGGAGAAGACAGTGGAACATGAAGAGGAGCAGGAGGAGGGGGAGGAGGAGTGAGGAACGACTCGCGCGGAGGAAGGAGGAAGAAAGTGAGGAGAAGAAAGAAGAAAGAGAAAATCAAAAAACTATAAAAAGAGAAGATAGTAATAATAAAAATAGTAATGATAACAATACTAAGACTGTTGACATGAATAACAACAATAATAACAAACATAAAATGAATAATAATACAGCAACGATAAGAATAGCAACAATAATAACAACAACGACAACAATCACAGTGATAATACGAATAATAATAATCAGCATAAGAATGGTCATAATGATACGAATATTATTATTAATAATAATAATAACTATAAATAGCAGTAGTAGTATTAAAGATAATAATAAGAAACGCTAATACGAAGAAACGAGACAAACTTTCATTTTTTGCCGAAACCTTGTTTCGGCAAAGCGATAGCAAGACGAAAACGGCCCACGACATCGCCCAAGCACCTCTGGCTCGAGCCGTGATGTGCCAGCCCGGGCAGGGGCGGAGGGGCGGGGCTCTCGACCCCCCTCCCCCCAAGGAAAAGAACATCTTCCTCCAGGGCCAAGGCCCGCAACGGGCCTCCAGCGGCCGAAACCTATGTAAAACATGGTCCGTTTCATCAGGGCGTTGGGAGGACGCGCGAGGAGGAAGAGGCCCTACTATTAAGGAGCCGAACTCTATACACCGACGTTTCTGCTGGCCACGCGCTGAAACTCACAGGGAAACGGATCCTGATGTATACGGGATCCTGGTGTACACATTGTTCGTTGATTCCCTGGGAAGCGGGGGAACAGAATATACACCACACCATCCCGACGTCGCCCCCGACCCTCAAACAGTCCCAGGATTGAAACACAACCCGCCACTGGTAATGTATACGCTCCAGCTTCTGAACTATGTTCAATGGGAAATCCCAAACAATCCCCAGACACCCCCCCGGACAACCCAGACAACCCATGCCGATGAATGGCGGCAAAACGACCTACCCCGGACAACCCCTTGGACAAGCCAGCGGGGCTCCGGACAACCCCCCTTGGACAAGGCCTCTGGGGATGTCTTCCATCAAATAGAATAGTCTGAAAAAACAGCTTCCTGCAGCGCCAGCCAATTGCCGCATTCCACCGCCTCCAGCACCTCGCTGCGGTCGGGCGATCCCCTCTGCGACGGCCTCTCTGGAATGGGGGGGGGACAGGGAGGGGGCGGAAGGTATGGGAGCGGGAGCGAGAAGAGGAAAGGGGAGGGGGCAGGGAGTGGGAAGGGAGAGGGGAAAGACGAGGTGCAGGAAAAAGTGGAAAGGAAAAGTCCAGGACGAGGCGGAGGAGGCGGGGGACGAGGAGCACGAGGAGGAGCAGGAACAGGAGGAGCAGCATGAGCAGGAGGCGGAAGGGGAGGAGGAGGGGAAAAAGGGAGAGGGTAGTGAGGGGGAGAAGGGCGGGGGGGTGCAAGGGACGGGAGGAGGGGAGAGGAGATTGTCGGCGCGTTCTCGGGGGTGGGGCAAACTGGGCGGCCTTCTAAGAAGTCAGAGTGCTTCTTAAAAGAGACCCGAAATCTTTCGGAAGGACTCTTTTGCAGCCCAGGTCGTCCTGCCTCCACGTGCCTTCTCAGGAGGCGAACTCCCCTCGCCCCCACCCCCTCGTGCACGCCGCAAAGAGGAGGGTTTCGCACTCGACCACGCCAACACACACACACACACACACACACACACACGCCAAATGCCCAGTCCTACCAGCAGCAACTGGGCGGGAGAAAAGAAACACAGCTCAGGCCGACGCCCCCTTAGGCGTGCCACAGACACGTCAATCCTTCAGGCGCGGCCGACAAGCCATCCCCGCAAGACTGACAGGCGAGCAGCACGACCTAGGGGCGGCCAGAGCATGAAGGGAGGACAATCAATCAGAATCGTCGGAGAGAACCGACCACGAGGAATGAGAAGACTGGGCGTCCAACCCATGCCAGAAAGCCACCGTGCCGCCCTCTGGCGCAACCTAGCCAGCAGGACTGGAGGAGGCGCGAGGCCTTGCTGCAACCTCCTGCTCCTGCATGTTGTGCGGGAGAGCATCTCCCGGGCCAACTTTAGCTCGAGTGGCTGGCTGGCCCGTTGGGACGCGATCCTCCCCTGGAAAGACAGAGAGAGAGAGAGACATTGATAGAGGAGGCCCAGGGCCTTGCTGCATCCTCCTCCACTTGCAAGATGAGCGGGGAAGCTACCCTCGAGCCGACCTCGACGGCGGCTGGTCGGCTCGCAAAGTCGTCATCCCCCCCAAGGTCATAGTCAACTCGGGCCCCCTCCACAAATTCAGCGCCCGTCTTGGAGAAGCGACACAGGGCAAATCTGCCTCCAAGTGCGGCGGCGGACGTGATCACGCTTGGCCTTGGTGGGCGGGCCGACACACCTTTTGGCCAAGCCACGCACCTGGCCGCCGCTCGTACCATACTTTCAATCAAAACAGACAGACAGAAGGAGCACGCCGCCCCCGTCACAATAGTCTAGCACAAAGGGCTGCGCATGCTGACTGGCCTTAAAGGAAGCCCCAATGAGCCCTCTAAGAACAAGTCACACGCAACCAAAATATCCTTCCCCAAAGCCAGTCATGATCAGGCCCAAGAGTTGGCTCCGGGTTCGGATTGGGTTGACTTCTAGAAATATCAGACAAGTCCAGACGCGGGGGGTGGGGAACAAACACAAAAATATAAAAAAAAAAAAAAAAAAAAACAAAAAAAAAAAAAAAAAAAAAAAAAAAAAAAAAAAAAAAAAAAAAAAAAAAAAAAAAAAAAAAAAAAAAAAAAAAAAAAAAAAAAAAAAAACGCCGCATGCAGATGTATGGCGCACTGGCCGCGAGATGCGCTCAGCCCGCAGCCTCCGATCCAACTCAGAAGTGGACGACTGGGGGCGACGGGAGACTACCTGACGGGCTGCCGAATCAGCAAGACCATTGCCACTCTTCAAAAAGATCTCATCTTCAGTGAGATCAGGTCTGTCTCGCTGGCGCCCTTCACACTTCAACGCGCCCCCAGGAGCCTGACCCAGGGACTGGAGCATGAACTCAGCGCACGGGCGACGATAGATGGTCCGGGGAGACAAGGGCCCCAAAAAATTGGCGCACCACGTTTGCACCATCAGCGAAAATCGGAGAACCAGGAACTCCACGCTGGACAACTATCGCGCGGGCCGCAGACTCGGCAGCGGCCCCGCGGGAAATAACCCATGAGAGCCCCCAGATGGCGGCAAAGGTGAGCGCCTGAGGGGTCAGCGAGAATAACAGCCCAACTTGCCCTGGAGAGCTCTGGGGAAACCTTTCCAGCAACGACCCGCCCGCGAAGATGTGTCCGCCCAAGGCCGCGCCCTCTGAGTCGGCATCCTGGGCCCATGCAATCTGCGACCCACTGGGAGCGCAATTGCCAATACTGGCAGGCATCGGGCGAGAATCAGTAGGCTGCTCGTGAAGACAGACCACTAGTAAACAACCGGAAATCAAACGGGCACGAAGTAGGACCGAGGTCCGACGGAGGCCCCATCTTCGAATGCCCGCCAAGAGTGCCCACGCGCTCAGCCTCAACAGCAGGGCACGACCACGAGCGATGTAGCGCTGCATCATCGGCAACTTGGCAAAAGGGAAAAGTGTGTCGGGCAAACCGCACCCCGCTTGAGTCGATCGCTGCCGTGCCCATCTAGCATTGCAAAATGCGGCGCGCGTGTGCCCCTGCATGCACGGCGTGTACTTCTTCTTCTGCAGCAAGACTCTTACCTGATCATGGCGCGCACGAGCAGGTTGCGTAAAGTGCGGCGGAAGCCGCCCCGCCGATCGGCAATCATGGATATGCTGAACAGCCAACCGCAGGTGCCGCTTCAGCGGCGCAGGCGAGATCAACGCGAGTGGCAGCTCGTTCCCGCGCTAGTCCACGACCAGGTCATGCGAGGCGAGGGCATGCCCCGACCTCTCCTTGACAAATTCAGCTTCATGGCCATAGTGGGCCCTGCGACTTTTGCCCGAGAATCGGGCCCCGATGCCGGGAAAACAAGAGGCCCGAGACCCACGCATTCCAACCCATGAGAGGGCGAGCGGGGTAGCTCCTGACTCGCAGGGCACCCCCCGAAGGTTCTACGAGCCGACCCCCGTTCATGATTTGAAATCCCGTGGACCTCCGCCCCGTAATTGTAGCCTGGGAGATACCCACCCGCAAAAAAAACTTCCCGCCGCGATTGCCTAGAGCAAATCGCAACTGGCCCAGCCTTCTGACATTGTTTTGAAGATGACGAGCTCGAACCGTCTAAACCAGGGAACGCTGCTCGGCCCTCCCAAGCCGCCCAGCAGCGAAGTCGCTGCCGAGGTTAGGCTGCAGAAGTGGCGAGTTGGCATCCAGCCAACGAACAAATGGACTTCATCAGCTCGGCGGCCACCAACCTTGAGGATGCCACCAAACGAGCTCATCCTCAGAGATGTTAGCTCCAAGGTCGCGAACAATCTCACCCTCCAGCATTCTGGCGCCCTCGGCGAGATCGCATGCCAGTTGCGACGCGGAGCCTGAAGCGCTGACTCCGCACCCGTCGACGTAGACAGCATGCGTGACACAATCGGGCACGCGACCCTCATCGAGCCAGCCGAAGATAAATATTCAAACCATGGTGGTAGCGAACGAACTCCCAGCTATGATGCAAAAACCATCTACGCAGGCCCAACAACGAAGCCTCCGAGGACGACGAATCGGGCGGACCGACGCATAGCGACGTAGCGACCACGAGGGCAGAGATGGCGGGATGAAGGCGATAGGCATGGCATCGCTCGATCTTTTCAAAACACTAGCAGAGATCCAGCCGTAGACCGGCAGCATTTCGGCCTCGTGCAACTTCATTTTCAGCGCGCGCTGCTGGGCGCCAAACCACGTCAGTGCTGGGCTGCAAAGGATGGTCGAGCATGCCCCCCCCCCGCTGGATCGCGCGCCCCCCTTTTCTCCACGACCTGCGCGCAGGAGAAAAGGGCCCAATGGGCCGATGGCCCCCCGAGGCGGTCGCCGAGCGCGAGAGGGGCGCGAGAGCGGCCTGCGCGGGCGCCAGGCTGCTTTTCTACATAGCAGCGCACAGTGAGGACAGCACCGCGAAAGCGTCATCAGACGCGAATGCGCAATATCTCATGTGAAGAGGCGGCCGTGCGCCTGGGAAACTGTCTGCTGTAACATCTGATATCCTCGGGGGCCAAGGGGTCGCGGGCGGGCAGGGTGGCGAACGCGGCGGAAGGCTTCGGGGGGGCGAAGTCGGCGCGCCACAGCGCATTAGACCGAAAATGCACTGGGACTGCAGGAAAGCAAGAAGGCCAGCCACAATTCCCCCCGCATCGCTCAGGGCCAAGGCGGGAACCACAAGGTAAAGCCAAGAATTTAGCTGGCGAAGAACGGCGGGGGGGGAAACAAACAAAACACACACGCACACACACACACACACACACACGCACACTTTTTTTTATATATATATATATATTTTTTTTTTTTTTTAAAAAAAAAAAAAAAAAAAAAAAAAAAACAAAAAAAAAAAAAAAAAAAAAAAAAAAAAAAAAAAAAAAAAAAAAAAAAAAAAAAAAAAAAAAAAAAAAAAAAAAAAAAAAAAAAACGGGGGCGCGGCCCCAGGGCAGCCCCAAAATTCACGCCCCGACGCGCCGCCGCAAGGGCGCGAACATTCCAGCCGCCCGAGGACGGCCGAATCGCCCCCGACAGCGAAAAAGCAAATATTCTACCGCTCTTCGCCCGTTAACGCAAGGCCTCGCGGGCCCGGCCGCTCCTTCCGCCCGACGCGGGAGGCGAAATCTCCAACCCTGCAGACCGTCTCGCTGCGCTCGCGCCTCCGCTGTAGCCAAAGCGACGCCTGGGTCGGCGCCCGAGCCAGCGACGCCTGGCCCGGCGCGGGCCAGGCCGGCGCGGGAGACCCACGGCAGCAACCACGAACGAGCGCCGACGCCCATGCCGGACAAGAGCTTCGGCAAGAAACTTGGGTGGGAGCACGCAGAGCCCGTCGGCGAACATCAGCTCGGGCCTGATTTCTCGAGAGCCCATTCAAGGAGGGTGAGGGCCAGCGGCAGCTTGGACTTCAATGTCAAGTAAATATCATTGGTTCTCTCTTGGGCACTCCTGGTGCCCCTGGTCTGAATGATCTCGATCAGGCTGCCGCGCGACCCCGAGACCCCCGACCAATTGGGGGGCCTCTGAACCAGACGCGCAATGGGCTCGTGACCCACGGGAGGGGGCCGGTGGAACTTCAGACGATAGAGGCGCGCAAGCCTGGAGCGCGGGGGGGCGAGGGGCAGCGCCGGCATCTTGACCTAAGCTACTTCTGTTATAGCCCGGGCAAGACCTTGCGAGATAACGAAATAATCGAGGGCCCTGATCCCCCCCGTGGTCGAGCACGCGCCAGCAGCATCCTCGCCGTGAACGACGGCGCCTCGAGTGCGCTCGCCAATAGGGGCGCCCGCCAGGAGCTGCAGAGAAAAGTTGGAATCACCATCTAAGATACAGGGGCCAGCCCGCGCCTCCATGGCGGCGGCACCATGCGAGAGCAGCGCAAGGTTCGAGTCGGCAAGTCCCCGCGAGTGGCACACACTGATCGAGAACAGGTTGATGCCATCACCCCCTGGAATGTTAACTATAGCACCCGCAACGCGAAAAGGGGCAAGAATGTGGCCTCCTTGGGGCGCTCGTAAAACTATACAGGCCCTGGCCCAAATACCACCACCTCCAAAGGTTCCCCCGGAAGAGGCAGGAGGGGCGGGAGCGCAGAGGGGCTTCCACCCGCGAACCTTCGCCTAGGAGGAAGCCTGATCACATTCCTCACCAGCTCGCAGGCGGCGTTCCTGAAGTAGAACAACGATTGCCTGATCATGGGAGCACCAATTGCGCATGGATCGCCACGTCGTGCACTTGACTGTTTCCACGATGAAGTCCAAAGAGGCAGCTCCAGGGTCAGGGGGCCGTTTAAAGAAGTTCGAAACGATTGGGTGGTCCTGCCATGTAAAATAGCACCCGGTGGGGTACCCGACTTATCCCCGGGGCCCAGGGCAGGCCTGGCCTGCTGATGGCTTCCTGGTTCGCCGCAAGGCGCGATTAAAACGTGGGTTGGGCCCCCCCCCTTCGCCGCCAGCTCTCAAGTGCGCGCCTCGGGGCGGCAGCGAGGGGGCGCTGGCATGAACGTTCACCTGGTAGCCATTTTGTCGCACGCGCGCGCCCCCGCTCACGAATGCCAGCAACGCCAGCGCCGCCTGCAGCAGGAGCCGAGGACGCCCTGGTAGGAGTAGCCGATGCGGCGCGCGAGACCTTGGGGGCGGCTGGATCCGATGATCCTGCACCTCGGGCAGAAGTGGGTGAGCGCGCAGGTTTCTGATGAGGATCCATACTCCTTTTCTTCTCCAATCACTGTAGGTAGTCGAGCTTATCCTTCCTGAACTTGCCAACAGCGCCACTGAAGAGGCCCTTGGCCAACTCCTGCAGTTGGGTGCACAACTCATCTTTCCTGACCTGGATCGTCTCCTTGTCTTCTGGTGAAACTTCGTAGCCATCAACATTGAAAAGGTGTCCACTTCAATGAGAGACATCAGATCACTCGTGTCCTCGACCACGTCTTTGATGCGCAAACGAGGAGGGGCACCGATCGTACAGCTCCTGCACGACCTTCGATTGTTGCGTAAACCATTTGGAGTATGAGCTCAACTTACCAAGCTCACCCTGCAAGGCTGCCTCCAGCTCTGTACCGTCGCGTCTTGAGTGTTGACCTTGACTTGCAAGCTGGACTCGCTGGTGTTGCGCACGGCTTCCATTGTTCCTGTATCCTGTGGCAACTGTCGAATATCCTGTCTTCTCGGCGACCGTGACGATTTTCCACACATCCACCTCAGTGAAATCTTTGTCATGTTCGCACCCTGCTTCTGTGTGCATGCCGTTGCTGCTGTCTGAAGAACCAACAACGCCACGAGGAGCAGGGGGAATAAAGCGACGCCGAATAATTACTGCCAGTATGCACCGTGTCGGCATCCGATGGCGGGGCAATAATACTCCATTCGCCTAAATGCTTGCAAGCATTGCAAGCGTCCAAGTTCATCTTACACCCGCACCACGCACAACACCATCTCCTAGGCTGTGTTGATCTCCGCGGAGGTGGGCGAGCTGTGTTCCAGGGCGGCGGCGGTGATGGCAGGTCCAACCACCCGTCGTTGACCTTGGAGCTCCAAACCGCTGCGCCGCTGCCGTTAACGTCGGGCTGGCGCGCGGTTGGGCGGTCGCCCTTGCCGCTGCCGCGGCCCCAGCGCCCTCCTCCGCCCATGGATTCAGACTGCGGGGGAAGCAAAACGTGACTGGGGGTGTGAGAAAACGAATTGGTCCGCTACCTCTGAATGCCGCCCCAAACTTCGAGACAGCAAGGCCCGCCTGGGTATGGGACGGCTCCGAAAGGAGGAAGGGAAGGGAGGAACAGGCGTGGAGGGCGAAAACCAAACTGGCAGGACCCCATTCGGCAAAACGCGCGCGGGACCGCACTCCGAGCGCACCATGGCGGACTATCTCATCGACGCCCACAAAACTACATACTGCATGCGGCAAAACACGTTTTCCCGTCGGCGGCGAGGCGGAGGCAACCCGCACCAGCGCGGGGGCGAATCGGGGCAACCGATCGAAGAATTGTCTGGCGTGCAAGACAAAAAAGGCGAAGACGAGGGCGACCGCACGAAAGGTGGAGGGGGAGGGCGCTCAGACGTGGAAGAGTTCCGCGTTGAGCGGGCCGGAGCGGCCAGCCAAGGCAGCGGAAATGCTGGGGGGCTGCACGGGCAATCCGCGAATACAAGTGTCGAGCGAACCGCCAGCGCAGAATTCCGCAATCGACCTGATGGGTGGGGGGGAGGGCGTTCTCCCAGTGCACGAGGCGATGGCGGAGGTAGAATGAGGAGGAGGAGGAGGAAGAGAATCGAATAATAAGAATATCAAAAATAATAACAATAGCAATAATAATAATATTTTAAAAAATAATATAATAATAATAATAATAATAATAATAATAATAATGATGATGATAATAATAATAATAATAATAATAATAATAATAATAATAATAATAATAATAATAATAATAATAATAATAATACGAATAATAGTAATAATACTAATCAGCATAACAATGATAATCACAATGATAACAAGAATGACGATAATAATGAGACTAATGAGACTAATGATCATAATGATAATAATAAACATAGGAAGGACATATGAAGATGACATTAACAACAAGAAGAAGAATGATACAAAGAAAAAACTAAGACTCGGCATTGCGTGTGGTCCGTGTGTGACGACCTGGTGATGGCCGAGCATGACGCTCGACCTAGGCTAACCCTCCCACGACCGAAAGCCTGCGCTTCCGAGGTGACGGGTTGCACGCACCGCGCAGGTTACGTGACGTATCAGATCCGATATATAGACAGACGCAAGGAGAACATCTCTCTGTTTAGACAAGCGCGCTCCACTGCTCGCAAAAAAAACTGCTCGCATATGGCCTGGACCCGCCACGGTCGATTTACAACAAGTTACATCGAGGCAAACACGTGTTGTTCGGACGCTTGTGAGTAGGCAGTCTGCGAGCAGTGGGCGGAACGCGCTCGGTGACTGTAGGGCTGGGGGTGACGCCCCTCGGGCCTCGGGAGAGCGGAGGAGGATTTTGGATTGCACGCGTGTTGAACCATCTGGCTGTCACGTATAGGCGGCGCTGCAGCTAGCAGAGCGCTAATAAAAGCCATCTGCACGGGCACCAAGTGAGCAAATTCAGAACAGGAAGTCCCACCGATCCCGCCCCTTACGAACCTCCACCTCCATGGAAACCCTCGAATGGCAGGGCGGAGGAGGAGGGAGGGAGGAGAGGGTCCAGCGCGGGCCTGAGTATCTCGACGAAGGGCAGCGCCGCGGGCCCGTCGCTGAGCTCGCGGGGGCGGCGCGCACTGCCTGGGCGGACCCTCTTGGCTGGTTGGGGCGGCCGGGGCCGGGGAGGGGGCCGGGGGGAGGGGCTCCAGCTGGAGAAGACGAAGAAACATGTGAGAGGGATGGAGGGAGAGAGGCAGGGAGAGACAGAGCAAAGGGGGAGCAGAAGCAGGAGTTTTCCTCCTCCTCCTCCACAATTACACAATATGAATACTACTCTCCTCTCTCCCCTGGTGGCGTCTGGGGAATGTGTGGCCCCCCTCGACGCACTGGCTTTTTACGCACAGGATTCCCAGGAATTCGAACTTCGCTTGGTATTTCAAAATGCTGCTCTCGCTGAATCGCTGGCCTCATTTTCGGGCTGCCGCTCGTTCCGAATGGCGTTCCCGCTGCAGCGCTGGCATCATTTCCGCGCTTCCGCTCGTTCCGAACCGAGCTCCCGCTGCAGCGCTGGCGTCATTATTTCCAGCGCCATGCCACGGCACGGTTTTCGGTCATGCCACCTCGAAAAAAACATTGGAAGTGATTGCACATTCGGTGCCGATTCGTTGATTTCTTTGGCCGCGGAAGCCCCCCCACTTCGGGGCGTCGCCACGCTATTTCGGCTTACCGACGCTCCAAGACGGCCCAAGAGGCCCCCAAGATCGCCCCAGGACGGCCCAACAAGCCCCCAAAAGGGCTCCAAGACAGCGTAAGAGGGCCCCAAGACGGCCCAAGAGGCTCCCGGAACAGCCCAAGAGGGGCCCCACGACGGCCCCAAGAGGGCGCCCAGAAGGGGAACCCGAATGAACATTTCGAGCTTTCGGTCCCAAAAGGCCCCCAGGAGGCTCTAAGAGGCCCCGAGGAGGCCCCCAAGAGGCTCCAAGAGAGCCCCAAGAGGCGCCAAGAGGGTCCCAAGAGGCTCCCAAGAAGCCCCCAAGAGGCCCCCAAGAGGCCCCTGAACTCCCCCGCAGAGGCACCCGAGAGCCCTCTCGAGAGACCCCAAGAAGCGTCCATGAGGACTCCGACCCAAAACTCAAGCACGGTGGCGGGATGGGCCGACGGCCATTTGATAGCTGGCATACGCGCCGCGTCACGACTTTCGATGCTGCGCACCACTTCGGCAAACTTCCAGGGAGCGGCCGGTGATGCGCCGCCGGCGTCCTCGATATTGTAGGGCCCTATGAACAGGAATATTGAAGGGAGAAGTTAATGCACCATCGTTAATGCGCCTTGGATTTACACTGGTCCTCCTCATCATCCTGTTCCTCCCCATCATTATCATCATCATGATCATCATCAGCATCATCATCCTCATCAGCAGCAGCAGCAGCATGACCCTCATCGCCGTCGTCGTTGCCATCCTCATCATTATCAGCATCCTCATCATCAGCAGCAGCAGCAACAGCAGCATCAGCATAATCACAATCATGCTCTGTTCGTCGTCATCGTAACCATCACCATCATCCTTATCATCATCATCATCACCATCAGCATCGTCCCTTGCATCAGACCCCGCCCCTCAGGCCATCCGAACCCAAGGTTGGTTGGTTGTCCAAGGGGGGAGGTCGAGCAAGCCTCTCCAGGATGTTCGGGAGAGCGCACCCGCCAGGAGAGCATCACGGGAAGGGGATTCAAACTGAACTGTGGGCCGAAGAGCTCAAAGGGCGCGGCGCTCAGCTTCACTCTTGGGTCGTCGTCGTATGAATCTGCCATCTTCGCGGCGTTGACAACATGATCCTCCCCCTCACCTATATTCGAAGGGTTTGCGCCGCAGCTTGGGCCGAAAGGCCCTCCATTACCTCCACCCCTCAGCGTTCCCCTCCTCGGGTTGTTGGCCTTTGAGGCCTTCCTGCGTCTGCTGCTGCGCGCTCCTGCTTGTCGCCTGCCTGTCCCGCTTCCGCGGTTGGAAGCGCGAATGGTCAACTGCCTGGGTCGTTGGGGACCGAGGGCCGCCCGGGGTCGTGAGAGCTCCCCCTCTCTTTCACGTTACCCCTGGTACGTAAGTGGGGGTCGGTCGAAACTGGTGGGTTTGTCCAGTTCCTCGTCGCCCGCCCCCCTTCCCCTCCCAAGGGAAAGGCGGCACGGCCCCGGCCGTCGCCGAAGCGGTCTGTCACTCTCGGGGAGTCGGCGGCGCGGCCTTGGGTTCAGGTCTGGGGTGGACACAATTGGCGCTCCTGGGCCGGCGGTGTTCCCTTCCGACCGCCAACCCCGAAGCTGCTGTCTCGTCCGCCGCCCCTGCTCGGGCCATGGCGAGTTGGGTGTTCCCTCGGTGTTGGGTCTGCGAGTCGGGTTCGAGCCCTGACAGGTGAGTTCGACGGGTTCTGCCAGACCCAGGAACTTGCGGGACAGCACCCGCGCCCGGCGGGCGGGGTCCTCGTAGCCGCCCCCGGTTCGAGCCCTGGAGGGTTGGGTTTCCCCGGCTCCTCCTCCTCCTCCTCCTCCTCCTCCTCCTCCTCCTCCTCCTCCTCCTCCCCTCCTCACCCTTTCTGCTCCTCCTCCTCCTCCTCCTCCTCTTATTATTCTTATTATTATTCTTCTTATTATTCTTATTATTATTCTTCTTATTCTTATTATTATTCTTATTCTTCTTATTATTATTTTTCTTATTAGTTATCTTATTATTATTCTTATTATTCGTATTATTATTAGCATTATTATTAGTAGTATTATTGTCATTGTTATTAGTATTATTATTCGTATTATTATTAGTATTGCGTTTCTTATTTTTATTATTAGTATTCTTATTATTATTATTATTATTATTCGTATTAGTATTGTTCTTCTTATTATTCGTATTATGCTTATTATTATTATTCGTAATATTAGTATTCTTCTTATTACTATTATTCTTATTATTCGTCTTATTATTCTTCTTATTATTATTATTCGCATTCTTATGTTTATTATTAGTATTACTATTATTATTCTTATTATTCGTATTATTCTTTTCTTCTTCTTCCTCCTCCTCCTCCTCCTCCTCCTCCTCCTCCTCCTCCTCCTCCTCCTCCTCCTTCTCCTCCTCCTCCTCCTCCCTGATCGCATACAAAACACAGCTGCGGCCGAGGCGGTCGCCGAAGCGGCTCGCCACAGCGGGGCGATCGGCCCGCAGGCGGTAGCCGCGGCCCTCCAGTAGCTCCGCAACGCGCACGGGCACGGGCTCGATGGGCTCGATCTGGGAGGAGGGGCGGAGACATCGAAGATCGAGGAGGAGGAGGAAGAACGGAACGGAAGGGAATGGAATGCAATGGAACGGAAATGAATGGAACGAAACGGAACGGAACGGAGCGGAACGGAACGGAACGGAACGGAGCGGAACGGAACGGAACGGAACGGAGCGGAACGGAGCAGAACGGAGCGGAACGAAACGGAACGGAACGAAACGGAACGGAACGGAATGGAACGGAACGAAACGGAATAGAATATAATGGTATGGAGTAAACTGGAATGGAACGGAATGGAATGGAATGGAATGGAACGGAATGGAATGGAATGGAATGGAATGGAATGGAATGGAATGGAATGGAATGGAATGGAGTGGAGTGGAGTGGAGTGGAGTGGAGTGGAGTGGAGTGGAGTGGAGTGGAGTGGAGTGGAGTGGAGTGGAGTGGAGTGGAGTGGAGTGGAGTGGAGTGGAGTGGAGTGGAGTGTGGAGTGGAGTGGAGTGGAGAGTGGAGTGGAGTGGAGTGGAGTGGAGTGGAGTGGAGTGGAGTGGAGTGGAGTGGAGTGGAGTGCGGTGGAGTGGAGTGGATGTGGAGTGGCGTGGAGTGGAGTGGATTGGAGTGGAGTTGAGTGGGGTGGGGTGGGGTTGGGTTGGGTTGGGTGGGGTGGGATGGAGTGGGTGGAGTGGAGTTGAGTGGAGTGGAGTGCAGAGGAGCGGAGTGGAGTGGAGGGGAGGGGAGGGGAGGGGAGGGGCGTGGAGTGGGGTGGGCTGGGGTGGGGGAATGGAGTGGAGTGGAGTGGGGTGGGGTGGGATGTGGTGGGGTGGGGTAAGTGGGCTGGAGCGGAGTGCGGTGGAGTGGAGTGGAGTGGAGTGGAGTGGAGTGGAGTGGAGTGGAGTGAGTGGAGTGGAGTGGAGTGGAGTGGAGTGGAGTGGAGTGGAGTGGAGTGGAGTGGAGTGGAGTGGAGTGGAGTGGAGTGGAGTGGAGTGGAGTGGAGTGGAGTGGAGTGGAGTGGAGTGGAGTGGAGTGGAGTGGAGTGGAGTGGAGTGGAGGAAGAAGGAGCAGGAGCAGGAGGAGGCCAAGGAGGGGGGGTCGAGGTTCTCGAGGGCATCGAAAGCATCGAGGACATCGGGGGTATTTGACGGAATTCGAGGGCTCAGGGGATAACGAGGGAATCGAGGGTATAGAAGACATCGAGGAGATCGAGGGTATCGAAGATACCGAGGACAGAGGATATCGACGATCTCATGGGTATCGAGTGTACATCGAACGTGTCGAGGGCGTTGAAGGCATCGAGGATATCGAGGATATCGATGATACAATGATACCGAGGAGTGAGAGTATCGAGCGTATCGAGGGTATCGAGGATATCGAGGACTTCGAGAATCTCGGGAGGATCGAGGATCGAGGGTCGAGGAATAATGTGTTGAATGTTTGGCATCTTTTTGGATGCCTCCCAGGCGCCCTCGTGGCCACAGCTGGCCAGAGGGCACCGAAGGAGATCCTGGGGCGGACTTCCAAGGGCGAACGGGAAGGAGGATCGAGGATCAAGGGCATTGGGGATAGCGGAGATCGACGACACGTCGATGCTTTCCGACGGCCGGGCCTCTGTGGGAGCCCCCGAGGCCCTCCGAAGCCTCTGGGGAGCACGGCAGGCCTCCGGGAAAACCCCCCCAGACCTCCCGAGACCTGCCCAGGGAGGCGGCGGGAGGGGTCCGGGAGGACGACAGCGAGCTCCGAAAAGACGAGGCGGGAGAACGGGAGCTGCCTCCTCCTCCTCCTCCTCCTCCTCCTCCTCCTCCTCCTCCTCCTCCTCCTCCTCCTCCTCGGCGGGGCGGCGGACACAGTCTTCGGGACGATGGCCAAGCGCCTCTCGACCGCCCACCGTACCTTGCAGAGTACGGGCGAGCTGCTCCCGCAGCTGCTCCCGCACACGGACACGGTGCAGTACCAGCTCTACGCGCAGCGGGGCCGCGTCGCCATGACGCTAGCGCGCATCGGCGCCTCGAAGAGCTTCCACTGCCACGAGGAGATGGAGAGAGCGCACGCCACGGTGTTGCTCAAGATGCAGATCGAGGAGCTGACCGCAGCGATCGAGAAATGCAAGGAGATGGGCGCCTACCTTAAGGACGGAAGCCGCCTGTACAAGGGGCCGTACCCGTGGGAGTACGACTACACGCGCCTCCAGTGCGACGAGCTGGAGGGACTCTACAGCAAGTGGACGCACAGCGCCAACGGGTGGGGCTACGACGAGGTCGTGAAGGAGGGAGCGCCCATGCAGGGCGCGGAGGGCAGCTCGGCGGCGGCGACCATCAGCATCCAGCGCCAGCCGTGCAAGTACCCGAGCCCAGCAGTGTCAGGGTGGACGACCTACAACGTGACGATCAAGTCGCAGGAGGCGGCTCAGCCGCCACAGCAGCAGACCAGGAGCCACTTGAGCAGCATGAACTGAGCACGCCCGTTCTAGCTGCCGCCAGCCTTGCCATAGCCAGTGCCGCCTCTCGCAGCCAGCCAGAAGCGTTCTTTGATCGCCCATCGGATGCGAATCGCCCAGCTACACCTAGCCTTTCTAGCGACAGCCAGTGCGGCACCGCCCATCCGTATCAGTAGCACAGCGACGAAGCGCCGAGCTTAGCGACAGCAGCGTACCGCAGAGCAGCGCGAAGCCCGCTGCCTGCCAGCACTCGCCTGCAGGACGCGGGGGCGAGGGTGAGTGGAGGGGGGAGTAGTGGTGAGTGGATGGGAGAGTCGAGGTCCTCAGCAGGGGTCGCCCCGCTCCCGAAAAGCGGGGGCAGCGCCCTCTGCCCGCATTTGTGTTGTTCTCCCTTGCACTCGAGAGCGGCGTCTCCCGCTAGAGGGGCACGAGGACCACCTTCCACCGCGAGGGGGTCTCGACGCCCCAGACAGCTCCCTGGCCAGCAGAGTCCAGGGGCTTGCATCCATATGCTACCCTGGGGGGGGGGGGGGCCTT